GGTTTATGCGGGAATGCAATATAAATGCGTGTGGGTGTTCGCTGTTCTTTGTTTATGCGGGAAATGCATAAGTCGCTTAAACAAAGTGTTATTTGGCTGTTTATGGTGCTACAGGGCGTATACGTTACATACAGACTACGGGTATATGAGCACGAGAAAACATGTAAAAGAACAAAATTGTTGCCTAAATTAACATTGTTCTAAATATATATAAAAAAAAAAAAACATTTGAACAAAAATACATTTTACATTTTTTAACAAAACAGTTTAAACTCTAATATAAGTTTCATAGCTTTCCCAAATTTCTCATTTAGTATATTTACTGAAAACATTTACTGCAGCTCATACACATAACACATACATAACTCTAGAAATATTTAGCAATTTACAGGAGGCAAATTAATATACCAACATAGTACAATATTTTCATATGTGTAAAAAATTTGCATAATTTTCTCATAAATGCAGCACTTAAATCAACCCAAAAACTTGTAATGAAAGTTTTAGTATAATTTAGGGCCACTTAAATGGCCACTCGGCAGCAACTTGAGCACCAAAGCTACTCACGTGCATAAGTATGAAAGCTGCATGCCACTACATATGAAGCAAAAACACTCCACAAGCTCTGCGTATTTGCTTTGTAAAAAGTTTCAAATAGGTTTTAAAGCAAATAACAGCTGGTCAGTAAAATTTTGCTAAATTTAAATCAAACAATGGTGAGGCTTTTGTGTGGTGCTTGAAGTTAGTATGCATTTTTTTTTTCCTAAATTGAAAGCAACTTTTCAAAATTAAAAATTTTGCATTAAATAAGTTTTTTTAGTTAAACATTTGTTCAGCTTCGCGCGCAGTATTAACTTTGAACTATGCACCTTTTTGCAGCTATAACTTAAGTCATTAGTGTTAGATACAAATAAGGTAGTAGAGTATTAGGCGCGTACTAACAAATCTATGGAAAAATCGTATTTTTCTCTTAAAATTTGTATGAAACTAAAGAAAAATTTAAGCAAATGTAAAAATGTAAGAGTTTTAATAAGCACTTAGTTAGTTAGCTAATCAATAAGCTAAAGTTCAATTTCGAAGAAAGTTAATGGCATATTCGAATTCCACGTTCGATTCTAAACAAAAATCGTGAACAAAAATATATACCAAAAATGACGTTTGACCCTCCAAATTTTTAAAAGAAAAATCAGTGTATTATAATTTTTTTCTGAAATAAATAAATTTTTTATTTACATACACAATTTCGTGTTTTCTTCATACAATATACTGCTTTTTCTTTTGAAAATTGGGAGGGACTGATGAAAGCCCAAATCAAAATCCCAAATATTCATACAAACTTTAGACGAAAAATTCCTTCCAGCATAATCTGTGCTACCAAACACCTGCTTTGTTGCAGTTTTCACAGAACTGTTCCACAAATATCCACAAAGGTCGCATAGCTTGGAAACCTTAGACTGCTCGCCATTTCGTTAGACTATAACAGGCCTAAAATAAATATTTCAAATTCCGCCTTAAATTTACGTACGTTACGCTTTTATAATTTTTTTCAGCACAGCTCGGGTTTTAGGGCATTTTTATTTCATGTAAAAGCATAATAATGCCGGCTTTTTTACAGCCCATTCACACGCCATAAATGGGCAGGCAGCAAAACGTATATACATACGAGTATGTATATTAAATACATTTTTTAAAGCCTCATTCGACCGCAAAATGTCGCTAACATAAATAATTTTTTTACTAGGCCACACCTAATTTATTAGCAAAGAAAAATTTGTCAGCAGCTTGACGATAAAGTGCAGCCAATTATGTTCTTACACCCCCAACCAAAGAAAACTCCCACGTATACAATGCACACATAAATACATCTACATCTACATACATGTGTATATGCGCTAACAGTTGCAATTTGATGACGAGTATAAATGAATGTGTGAATATACATAAGTAAGTAAGCGCTAATAAAATCAACAGCAGCGAGCGACCGCAGCCTGGTCGGTTGACAGCAATGCCATAATATTTGTGGCAGCATTCGCTGTGACAGGCAATAAACAGGTTAATATACTTATGCGTCAAGGAATAAAGACCTCGTCGACAACAATTGTGCTGTTGCATGTAATCGTAAAAAATACTCGCCATAAACACATTTCATATTTGCACTGGACCATTTTTCCTATTCCGAGCGCCTGGTTGAAGTTGTTTTGCTGGTGAAAAGAGTAGTAGTTGTCCTAAACACAGGAGCAAACACGGAACACACGTTGGCAAGCATTGCGTGGCCTTCGCTGGTAAAAAAACGCAAAAACATATTTCACGCTAAGAGTATGGCCGAGATTATCCTCTATTGGTGTGGGTTTTGAGGTAATAGCGCAAGATTAAGGCACCTGCAATTAATTTTACACCGTTCGCCAAATGGTTTTAGGAGAAGCTTTATCATGGCATCTCGGAAGTTTGCCATTACCTGCGGAGATGGGACCGCTGCTAGAAGAAAGTGGTTTCTGTTTTGAGATGTTGCTCGGACTAGGGATCGAACCTAGGCCCCACCGAGTGGTAGTACGCACTGCTAACCACTCGGCTGCAGCGGCCTTTGCTAATAGCTGCAGTAAATTGGCCGGCCTCATCACCTCTTTGTAGGCGTATACATATGTACATGCATATGTAGTAGCGGATGAGAAATGACGCTTGCAATCGTCGTCGGACGTTATTGTGCGCGTGGTCGTAAAATATCAACACACATACATACGTTCTTGTGCACAATGTGGCCAATGCGTTACCAACAGTAGTAAAGTGAATACCTTATAAACGAATTTGTGATTAGATATAATAAATATCTTTAGAGTATCATTATATATATATTCACTTTAACAGGAACTTGATATCTGTTAATGTTTTAATTTTCCATAGCGCCACCTATGTGACAGTACTTCTTACGTACTTCTAATCGTAGACTGGCTTTTTTAGTAAAAAAAGAAGCATTTTGTCACCAATTTAGAGGTAGAGGGTTTATATTTTCATAGTTAAGTTGAAGTGTGATGGTGCTTCGTGTTAAACAGAGAGTTTATTTTATTTTTTTCTGGAATTGTCAAATTTCATTATTATTATTATCAATGGCGAAATTTTATAAGAACTATATTTCTTAAACTTCTTAATTAATTAAGAAAATGTCTCACTATGGGAAAAAGTTGCCCCTGAAACTTAACTATATATTTACATTGGGGTGGTCCAAAAATACATTAAACACAAAAGCTTAAAATGTCCCCCTAGAATTTTTCTAGTTTTTTTGTACAAAAAATTATATTTAGAACTGCCTTACAGCTGATGAAGTTTTGCATGTATTTTATAAGGGAAAATAACCGTTTCGTAGAAATAGTATAGAATTCTCGAAAATCAATATTTTTCGATCGCAAAAATTCGGTTATCTTCCGATGTCTTTCGATAACAACACCCCATTTTCAATATTAACTATTTTTTATAAATCCCTCAAAAACCGCAAAAAATGCAAAGGGGGGGGACTCATAAAAAATCTTAAGTATTAAAAAAATGGTACAATAAGCAATTGGGTACTATTATTTGAAGTCTCCTGTAGAGACACAGTTTTCCGATCGAAAGAAATGTGTTTTTTTTTTTGAAACAAAAAAATACGGATATTCGTTTTCCATTTAGGAAAATTCTTGGGACTAAGAGCTTAATATTTTAATTTTTTTTTGGACCACACTAATCTACAAGCATATGTACATATCTAAGAAAACTCTCTTCACTAAGACCTATTCGGATTACCTACAATTTTTGGCCACAGTCTGAGAAGCAAATTGATTAAATCTATATACTAGGAAAATAATTAACATATTTCGAAAATCCGAAAAGTCTTGAACAAATTGTTAGTTATCCCTGAAAAATTCGGAAAATCCTAAATAGTTAAATTTTTTTCAATGAAACGAAGATTCGGAAAAACTTTAAAAACCATGTCAGCTCATAAAAAAAACTGCGAAAATTATGAAGAAATTCAAACAAATTCCGAAAGGTTTCGAAAAATTTTGCTCAAAATATTAAAAGCCAACCACATAAATTTTGTTTTGTATGCCTTGTAGCGCTGTAGTTCAAAATCCAAAACTAACTTTTAGTTCTAAACTATGATTTAAGATTGTAGGTTAGAGTAGGCTGGGTACAGTTCCATGTGGTACTCACTTCGACTCAGCAAAAGATGGATAAGCTTTAAATATCTGTTGCTTTGACATCATTCAGATCATCAAGGAAATAGGAGCTTTTTCGCTCCGTTTTTCCAATGGCATTTAAAGTGTGTTTCTTCGCCATTCTCGCCGTTGCAGGGTGCGCCCAACCTAGCTGAGCATAATCCAACCATACAATGTTCGATAAGAGAAAAAATGAAAGCTCCATCAACTTTTTACATAACACCCTTACCCTTAATATACATACATATACACATACATTTTCGCCAGCAATGAAAAAAACTCAATAAGGATTTTTGTTTCGCGAGAGGTTGTCATACACAAAACATTTATTTTCTGTATTTATTTTATAAGGAGAAGGGTATTACTTGCACTAATTTTTTTATTTTTATTTTTATTTTTTGGTAATAGAGGAAATTTTAGTTAGAGTTTAAGACTTAAATAGACGTAAATTTATATTTTTAATAGCATCATTGTATTCCCGTTAAAAGTATAAGTTTTATGAATATTGGTAGATTTATTGGTGCCAGCTACAGGTATGTGCGCAAGAAACTTTTTTTTTTTTTTTTGTTTTCATACATATGTAAGTGATATAAGGAACACCGTGCTAGGTTTAGAGTAGTCGTGGAGTTATTATTAAATCATTGGTGATTGTGATTCGTATCACTTCAGACAAATTTATATTATTACTTTTATTAAACTGGCCTTTACCAGCGCGAAACTACTGCTGCCTGCCATCACTTGCATTTGATTTTCCGCTTTCCTTCACCCTCCTTCCAAATCCACCATTTTTTGAAATGATTCTTAAAGCTGCTTCGCCATCTTGTGAAAACAGCCGCCTGCATTGAATTTCATTTTGAATCTCCCGTTGAGTCGAAACGCGCTTTCTTCGAATTCTCCCTTTCACCTGCCTTCGGCTCATCGCCTGCCTCCTCCTCCTCCTCATTGTCCGCCCCATTCTCAATAGCTTTCGCATTTTTGTCTGCATCATTGCTGGTCGTGCCAAAGTATGCGCCCGTTGGCTCAATATCCACCACCCGCTCTACATCGTCCAGTGGCGGTGGCGCGGGCACTATAATTGTCAATATACCATCGGTGGAACGAGTAGCTTTGGCCAGCGTGGCATCATAATTTCTCGGAAGCTTGTATTTTCGCGTAAATTCGCGCGTAATGCAGAACGTGCTCTTCTCACCGCGATCGTCCTTCTGTTTGCCCGTCAATACAATGGTGTCATTGTTGCGCACCTTCAACACGAGCTCATCGTCGCGGAAGTGATGCACATCGATAACAACCTTGAAGGTGCCCTTGCCCAAGCTGTCCGGCTCATCGCCCCTTTCGATGGTCACACGACTGGCCAAGCACGAACGATGACACCAAGGTCCGTCGTCGCTCCAATGATGTATGTGCCAATCGCGCGCACACACATCTACATCGATGTCGTGATGGCCAAAGGTCGATTTCCAGCGACGCGATGTCGGACACCTGGCATGATAGCTGAAACTATCGATGGGCCAGGGACGCGTGGAGGGCCAATGCCAAAAGTGATCATGTGGCCAATCCCAGTCCCAATCCCAATGCGTTGGCATGACTTCTCACTGATTTACTTAGTTCGCTGTGTGGTTACTGCTGCCCGCTCTTTTATGGTATTTTATGTTCTTCGCACGTTTTGCGCCTCGCCAAGGGACGACGACATTAATATCGTCCTAGTTCTCTTTATACTATCGTCGAATTGTTTTTCTTCTAAGTAGTTGGTGTGTTCGTTGTTGCTGCCGATACGTTGCAACAACGAAATTTTTTTGGAACACCAAAAAAAGTGTTGTCACCACCGCTCACGGCACGTGCCAAGTTCGTACTGATTTGAATGCGCGTTGAGCGATTGGCAATGAAGCCTTTGCCTTCGCAACAGGGCCGTTAACTGAGTGCTGGAATTCGAGGTGAGTTTCATGCCAAGCAAACATTATTTTTGTTTCTAGTTTCTAGTGCGGCCAATTATGCAAAAATTTGCGCTTCTGCAAGGGTAGTGTGCTATGGGTAGGCGGCGAATTCGAGTGAGCTTGGGCCCGGGGGACACTGGAGTACTTTGCATATTTGTGCACAAATGTTAGCATACGAGCTGACGATAAAATCGATTTTTTTTTCGTGAATGTGGTTCAAATTCGAAAAGGTGACTTTGGGATTGAATATCAGTTAGAATTTGAGTTTGAGTTTAAGTTTTAATCCGAGCTTGAGTTTGACTTTGAGTTTGAGTTTCAGTTTAGTAGTAGATATGAGTGTGAAATTGAGTTTGAGTCTGTTTCTGTATGTATAATCTTTAGTTTGAGTTTCAGTTAAAGTTCGAGTTTTGGATTGAGTCTGAGTTTGAGTCCGAGTTTGTATTTCAGCTTGGCTTGATCTTGAGTTGGAGTTTGAGTTTTACGCTGACTTGGAGTTTGAGTTTGAGTCTGAGTCTATATTTGAGTTTAAGTCTTAGTTAGAGTTTGAGTTTTACGCTGACTTTGAGTTGAGGTTTGAGTTTGAGTTTGATTCTGAGTCTATTTTTGAAATTTGAGTCTGAGTTTAGTTTGAGTGCAAATATGTCCGAGTTTAAAATTTATTTTGTAATTGTGTTGGAGCTCTTCAATTAGCATGCTGACTTAACTTCTTGAATTTCAAACTCGATGATAGTGGTTATGCATGCAGGTTTTTTGTTTTTGCACTTCCGCGTTCTATTGTTTGATCGATAATCGATTTTGGCAATAACAAGCACAACAACCTTAATACCGTTTAATTTCACTCGGTGGGCCGTGACAGCTTAGCGCTCAAGTTTCCTGGCTACGTAAATGCACAACTGTATATATGTAGTATATTCACAAACACAGCTATACATATGTACATAGGTTAGTATGTAAGTACATCTACGCGAAAATATATTGTACTTCCACGGTTGTCGTGGCGCATGAGTGTTAGAAAATAAGCGCATATCTGTCGCTGAATCTTGTTCACTGCTCACCAAGCCACGTATCGCGTACGCTTCGTACCACTCCCTGTGGGCAACCAAGCATGGGCTGGTAAGCGATTCAGTCGGAAAACATGTGAGCATGTAAGTACCTAAATACCATTGCGGTAAGCTACGCGCTTCACTCTACGTGTGTTGTGAATTTACACGCTTAACATTCGCTACGGAAGTGTAACTAATGAAATTCGTGACCTTATGTGAGATAGCAAACAACATCGGTGGAAAAAAGCTATCATTGCAGTGAACGACGCCGGAACGGAACAAGAATGTAGTGGCGTGCAATAGTATTTACTTGGCAGGTCGGTGGTGCTGTCGTCAATGTTGATGGAACAGAGGTCATTTCAAATGCGCACAGAAATATTATCAACGAAGAAATAAGTGCATTCTAAATGAAATACAGCACAGTGAAGCGCAAATAAAGCAATGAAGCAGCTGAAGTAGGAGAGGGGGCTGAAGGGAGAAAAAGTATGGATGAAGAAAGAAAAGATTGCACATGCAGACGTAGCGTTGCAGTTTGAGATCCCGCTTGACGATGCCAGACTAGCAACGAACCGTTAGACGGTTGAGCGAAAATAAAATTAAATAGTTCTGCACTACTTAGCGGGAAATTGGCGACAGCTGTTTGCTGTAATGCAATGAATAGTGGCAAAAAAGATGGCAGAGATTGTTATCATGCGATAGACAAAGCGAAAATATTTGTTTTAAAAGAAAAACGATTTAATTAAAGAATATAGTATATTAAATTTTAGCGAAAAGGTTACCAGAAATATTTGTAATAAATTATGTGGTACTGTTTGGGGATATATCTTAACATTATTTGCATTTACGTATAATATGTGTACATTAGGATGCCCCTTAAATATAGGGAGCAAATTTGTACATCAGATTTCCCAAGCCTCAACACCTACGTCGATGCTACTATAGTCGAATATATCGCATATAAATATTGGTCCCGATTGGAGACGGTTAAGACGTGTCGCACAGAGGGCAAAATACAGATTCCTCTATGGAGAGTCAAAAATTCAAAATTTAGTTTTTTTTGTCTAGTACCCAAAGTCATTGTCGAAGATATGACATATAAATTTTGGTCCTGATTGAAGTCGATTAAGACTATGTTCAAACAACCCAATTAGCTGAAGCAATTAAGCTTTAAATTGTGGCATTGAGTTTGGTGTTCACACACACGTCAGCTGTGCAATTAGCGATACAAAATCAGCTGCTGGATTACCTACAGTGATGGAAAAGGTGATGCAATCGTACCTTTATTTAGTTTAAAGTACATGCGGTACGAACACACAATTTTAGGTACATTTGGAACGTAGCCAAATAATTTCTCAGGAAATCAGTTCTTATTTTTATTGACATTTCAATACATTTTCTGGTGCGGGCAACTGGTCTAATAGCTTCCCTCCTTTGCAAAGGAGCACACAAATGATACAGATGAGTGGTCAAAGTAACGCAATTAATAATTTGAATTTTTGTATGATAAATTGGGTAACAATTAAGGCTTAAATTGGTGAAAACGTTCTTAACTGCCAATTAGGTGCCTGTTTGAACATATTTTAAGGCGTGTCGCGTAGGGGTCAGAGTTCAGATAACCCCACGCTTTTCTCGTTTCAATCTCATAAATGGTTTACAATGACTTTTGCTAAAATTTCAAAATCAAAAGTTATCAAAACAAGTTCTATGGGACTGAGAAATATTATTTTCTAATTTTTTGTCCATTTAGAAAAGCGTGTTATATTAAAAAGTTCATTTTATTTATTTATACTTAAATAATTCATTTTGCACTGAAGAGAGAACAGAAGACTATGCAAGCAAAATGTTTGTGCTCACGTTGAGTATATGCATACATATGTACGTATATGCATATAGTAGGAATTAATTTCATTTAAAGAAATGGCGTGTCGTCCGTTTCCGCAGTAGCGTAAACCGCCGATTTCTGAAGTAACCTTTAACTTTAAAGCTCACTTTATATTTAAAGGTTGGATTAAAAGTAAAGCTATTTCTAAAGTTAAGCATTTCTATTATCGGTTTATGACGTATGTATCTTTCTTGGTTGTAAACCACTTTAAAACGAATAATAAAATGCTTTACTTGAGGCACAATCATAAATTTTAATCTAACCTTTAAATATAAAGTGAGCTTTAAAGTTACAGGTTACTTGAGAAAACGGTGATGTTGGTGATATGATATTTACAACTAGGTTGGTATCTAGACTAGGTTGATATCTAGACTTTGCCATAAATACCTTTGCTATATTTATAGTATAAATGGTGGTCTGGACACACAACATTGCAAGTTGATAAAGGCGTTGTAATAAAAAGCTCTCTCATCCCCCGCTCGTGGTGAAAATCTATCTTGTATATTATTAAGTACGCGTGGCTTCCACAGTAGCAATTGCCGAGTTAACAAAGCACAGGCGTGCCATTCGAGAGATTCGTCATCGAGTCCTCGGGCAGCGAACATTTTTTAATTTTTTAATATACACTTTTTCTTTCTTAATTAAGTGATTTTTTGATTGTATTGTTTTAAAAAGAAAAAATATTAATTTGTTTTAACTTTTAGAAACTGATTTTCTGTATTTTTTTCCTTTTCAATTCAGTTTTTTCCTTTCTTAATTTAATTTTTTTTTAATAGATGTTATTTAAAAAAAAAGTCTTTTTTAAATTTAATTTAATTTTTAGGAACCTATTTTACTTTAATCCATTTTAAAAGAGTTTGCTGCTTATTTTACATTAGTTTTCTTTCAATTCTTAGACTATTGTTTAAAAAATTTCACTTAATTTTTGGAAACTTATTTTATTTATATATTTTTTTAATTTAATTTGTTTTTCTTTTTTAATGTAATTTTATTTTATTTTTTAGATTTTGTTTTAAAACGGAAAATATTAAAAGGAACTTTTTTTAATTATTAAGTACTTTTCTCATCTATTTTGATTTTTTTCTAATTCAATTTATAGATTTTATAGTTTTAAAAAGAAAAATATATTTTTTTAATTTAATTTAATTTTTGAAAAATGTATTGCTTAGAGGTGAACAGCACAACGCTAAGACCTTTTGGTTAGAAGATCTTTCAATTTCTTTTTTGAAAGACTGTAAGTAGCTTTCAGGATAGTTGCCAGAATTGACAATTGTCTTACGAAAGACTGTGGTCAGTTGGAAGACAGTTGCCAGAATTGCCCTGTAAGGAAAGTATGCAAAATCAGATGCTTGACACCTTGATTTCTTTGTTTCTTTCTCTTACTTATTACGAAAAAGCAATTCCTAACCCACGCATGAAGAAGATTGATATGTTTTTATTAACTCAAACGACAAATAAAAAAAAAGCGCTTATGGAATACAATTTCAAAAAAAAATAATCCTTGCTGAGTGGAGTTGTACAAATTTTCTATCTTTAATACATAAGTACATAAATAAGCTGGAAGAAACCGGCTTAGTAAACAACGCATTGGAGGTTAATTCTCTATCGGCTTTCCAAACAAAATATGTAGTCTCTCTTTTCTATTGGATTATAGCAAGATTACATAGTAAGTTGGCCATATTATTTGCCTACTATGTGAGATCGATATTTCAAAAGCAAACTAATGCCATTACTATTATTTATGTAAGCCATTGTCTGCACAAAAATTCCATGTTTGTCATAGAGCTCATAACATAACTGCATATGCATATGTACATATATGTATTTATAGCAATGTTAATATAAACATGATTGCATATGGAAATGTGAATTTTGTCTTCCAATGCACGTTGAACAAGTTATTATGCAACATTTATGCACATGTGTACATACCCACATATGCTAGTAAGTACTAGTATATTACTCACGTATTGTAGTTGTATAATAAATGCGTTTGGGTGCATTTGCTATTTAGATTGATTGTCAATGTGTGCCAGTGCTTTTTTGGCCGACAGTGCTGAGCAATAAACAATAGAAATATATGTAGGCATTTCCTGTTCAAAACATACATATTAGTTTCAAATTCAAAATCCTGTTCAAATTCATTCAGCATGAGAGTTTTGTCTGTCCAGCAATATTATTCATAATATGAGAGAACAACTATGATCTAAAGTGCACTTTACTTAAGGAAAGTACAATGACTAGAAGCAGAAAATGTAGTTATTTGATAATAAAAAATGCAATTTGATTTTTTTTTTTAACATACAATGTGTATTGGGGTAGGAGAATACATACACATATAGTTCAATGAAAAAAAGGTTCCAGGGCTTGGCCTTGCCCTCGGCCACGGGATTAATTGCGACTTATTGAACTGTATTTAAGGTAGAAATATTTTTGTTAAATTAGCGGCACCCTTGAGAGTGCTTTAATTACATTACAAATACTTATCTATCGTCAGTAAAAAGCATTCAAAAGATTTTGCAAAAAAGTGACGGGCTTTTGAACTCCATGTCGATAGTAAAATCCCTGGTACACCGACGGTTGTGTATAAGAAATTGGGGAGAAGGATAATAATTGACATGCAACGTTTTGCAGTGTCACCGACGATATGCAGTTTATTAAATATTCAGCTTTTATAAACAAATATCAAACATCAAAAAACAAAAAACAAAATGTAGCTAAAACCAGGAAAAAAGGCATTCCTACTATTTCTGCCACTAGGGTATAGTTAAATTCACAGTATTCACCAGAGACCTCTCATCCCAAAGATTCCCAGAGCAAAAAAAGTTATGCAAATTTATTTAAATTTCTAAATTTCTGCAAATTTTTGTAAAACATAAAAATTAAAACTATTCTGAGTAACTTTCCAATAGTTCTAGAGTTGCTAAACAGGAAAAAGAAACTTCTTCAAAATTACACCGAAAAACAAAAACTTTTTTTATTTAAAAAAAAAAAATGGAAAAAGTTGATTTTTTGAAAAAACTAAAAATTAAAACTGTTGAAGGTAGTTTTTAATGGTGCTAGAGTTTCTGAAAAGCAAGTTTTGTAAAATTAACTGGAAAAAATTTTTTTTCGAAAAAGTCGAAAAATATAAACTTTTGAATAGTTCTTTTTAATAGTTCTAGAAATAATGATAAGGAAAAAAGCAGTTCTGCAAAATAACACCAAAAAAACAATTGTTTAAAAAAGTCGAAATAGTTTAATGTTTAAAAATAATTAAAATTAAATCTTTTCTGAGTAGCTTTTCAAGTTCTGTTTTTTGTTTCCTTTACAGGAACTCTAAAACTATTGAACAGTTTTTTAAAAATCGTCAAGCCTGCCAAATTTGTATGAAGGAACCCATAATAACGCAGAGCTAGTGCCAAGAAAATCGAATTTTTTGGTTTTTGACAGGGCGTTTCGTATTTAAGTTCGGTGCTGAAGACAGAAATATGACAAAACAGAGAAATAGGAATAGAGAACAAAAACGGGAAAAGGTCCAAAATTTTACGCGTTTTTTTTTTATATAGGGCTCTCTGCCACTCAATGGCGTCAGAAGAGGCAACACTTAGGCTCAAATTTAGCGATGGCTGTTAGGCTTTCGGTTTTAACTGATGAACAATCAATCGATTTGAAGCTCCCTGTTATTTAACGCAGCAAATATTTAGAGCTTTTACAAAGTGACATTCAATAGTGTAAAAATATAAGCAGACACACAAATAACCGAAATTACCCACAAATGCTAATTTCACTTATATAATTCAATTTCATGCTATCGATATTATCCTTTTATCGCGAATGCACATACATACATATATCGCTTCCGGTAAACTGATTAAAATTACGTGAATTTTTACACTCAAGCTCACACATTCACAAAGGCTATATTATACAACACACACACACACACGTGTAAATAGGGACATATGTACTTATTTACTCGAATGTAAATGCCACGCTTGTAATTTTCACGTTTTCCGCACATGTGCGATAATTTTCAGCTGACTCAACAACAGTTCATCAGCGGCGATAATAAATGAAAAAACAAAAATTATGGTTTCACGTTTTGCTCACAGCACTTTCGCACTTGTCATTTACGTTTAAATAAATATTTCGCACATTTATACAATGGCAAATAAAAGTACTCATCACAATTATAATGCAGCAATAAATGATTGTATGGTTATGTATGTATGCATTAATGTATGTTCGAGCTTACCTTGTAGCCTTGGACGTATTGACACGTGCACCATCCTTGTACCATTGAAATTGCATACGCGATGATCCTTGGGCGGTGCATGAAATTATAAATTCACTGTCTTCACGTATCGCTGATTTTTGATTAATTGTCAATTCCTGTAAAGGGAAAGCGAAAAGGGTGAAAATAGCGAGCGTTGGTTTCACAATGAAAGTTCATTTATAGTCTTTTATATGGGATAGTTGACCTAAATACTTAAATAGGTGAGTAAATATTGTTAAGTAATATAGTCTATAATACAGACCATAACTAAAAAAGCAAAATAATTAAGTATCTACGGCTGAGTGGAAGATCCACCTATGATATTCGCAGCCGATTCGAAAACGACCTACCTCAGCAAACCTATCTTAGACAACTTTTCAAGAACGTCCTATCTCAGAATTTGGTTCAAAAACGCCCTACATCAACTGAAAATATATTGAAAATATGTTGAGATAGGGCGTTTTTAACCAGAATTCTGAAATGGCTGAAGGCCAAATTTCGAAATAGGACGTTCTTGAGAAGTTATCTAAGATAGGGTGTTTTCGAACTGGCTGCATGTATGTAGCTTTACTGTTAAATTTCCTCGAATTCGAGCTCAACTAGCCACCGACGTAAAATCCTAGACCATATCAGCTGACGTATCCTATTTTATGGGATTCTCGTGTCAACGAAAACTCACCACCACACGACACCACGGTGCCGTTGCCGTATCTACTCTCTCTCTCTCTCTCTCTACTCTATCAAGAGCAATTTTATATGTTGGTACGAACGGCAAGTACGGTAGAGCGCTCCGTCGGTGACTGGTTGAGCTCTATCCCGTCATTTCATCTGGGAAGAGAACTACGTCTACAACGAGACTAAACTGAAGAATTTTTATCCAAACTGAAGTGTAGAGAAATTTTTTATTTAACGGCTGTCTCATCAATGTCTGGAGAGGTTTTAATTGAAGTCAACAAACGAGTTCTGAAGATCTTCGCTATAACGCCGTGCGACAGTGAATTTCACACAAAAAAAGTCAACATATTCGCGAAATTAGTGGCCAAAAATAGTGAAAATGCATTTTTAGTTTTTCTCTTTGACGGCAAGATTTTTTCTAAAGCCCTTTGAAATTTCAAATAAATGATTCATAAAAAATATTGTCGATCGAGAATAATAATAATATGAGTACAAAAAAAAAGAGAAAATTATGTAGAATAAAAAAAATATTAAATTTTTTGGTGAAAATGTCCTTTTAAAATTTTAACCTTGAATATCCCTGAAAATATGCAAAATTTCTTTTTAAAAATTTATATCTTAGGGACTAATATACACATGACCAAACCACCAAATTTTGCCCTTCTAACTTGATTACCTATAAAAAAAATAGAAATAATTAAAACCCAATTTTCAATACATATTCGTCCTTGTTAACAAAAATTCTTTATCTAACGAATTTATGCTTTCTTTCTTTTTGAAACGCACAAGTTTGGATACTGAAAAATGAGAAGCGCTTGGTCTGGTCGAGCTTTTACAGCTGCGATGACTATTTTTCAGGACCCACGTGACTAATAATAACGGAAGTAGCAGCCTTAAAAAGAAAGCTTTTTGAGTTACATAGCGTTACAACGTCACTTTTGAGGCGGTCGATGTTCCGGAGGGTATTCTTCAAATCCCCGTGACACTCTCATACCAAACGTGCCTTACAGCGGATTTATTGCAACCTCTACGTTACAAAATATTTACTTGGCTCTGAGCATTTCCATTCTCTACAAATCGCTCCACAGTGCACAGTGGCCAATTTTTGGTGCATTCGTATGCATAACCTTATATTGTTAGGAGGGCTCTACTGCGTATCGTTATGAGACAACAAGTCGATTCTCTTAAGGCATTTAGTGTTACAGGAGATCGAAGTGACTGTTGCTAGCAATTCGCTCTAAACTTTTCGTAAATAAGAGTTTTCGTCGTTGTTAAAGTCGTGGTATTATCTTTAAAAAAATAACAGTTTTCAAGCATCCGCTCATGGACATTGTAATCTAGAGTATGTAAAACATTGTCACGCCATCTAAAAACTGACGTAAGACATAGATATTCACGGATTGATTTTTTTTTGTTTACTCATTATAATGGACTAGGAAAATAGTTACGAGAGTGGTCGATATGGGCGGTCTAATTTTCTTTTTCATATATATTGAAGTTTTTCCCATCCACCTTGGTTAAAACCACCTGCCACAAGCCGCAACTGTAGTTTGGACATCTGTTTTAATACGCGATTCTTAATTTTTTTATGTTTAAAAGATTTAAATTATGTAAAAAAAATAATTCTGTGAAGATTTTGATGTTTTAAAGATTGGATGTTTTACTAGTAGTACTATATATTAGAGTGCTCATCCATGGACCTCTCATTATTGAATGGGCACCCCTGCCAATTGGGTAACTTTCCGAAGAAACCCAAGAGTCAAGGAATAAGGATATTAAAAAATATCGGCTGCTTGTATCCTCGGCCTCCGTCATTTCAAGTTTACGTTTAAACCCACCAAAACTAAATCATAAACTGTCGTCAGATGCCATTAAATTATTATCAACTGTTGTAAATGCGGATGCGGAATTGCCATCAGTAAATATAGATACGAGCTTGGATACTTCAGATGACTGCGAGTCTGACGGTGTATAAAATTGTTATCTTAAAAATATATTCCTGTACCAACAAATATGTATGTCGTGTAAATTTGAAAATCAAGATTTTTAGAAACAAACATTAAGACCTCGTTAGTGTTTGTCCGAGCTTCTGTTCCGATTTGTGGCGTGCGCCTTGATGTTGGCGCACAAAGGGGAGGGACCAACAGTTTTACGCCGAATCCGAACGGGGATTTTATTTTTATGAGAAGCTGCTCTTCGTTTCTGAATACACTCGGGGGTTTGCCATTGCCTGCCAAAGGGCGACTTTATTACAAAAAACTTGNGTATGTAAAACATTGTCACGCCATCTAAAAACTGACGTAAGACATAGATATTCACGGATTGATTTTTTTTTGTTTACTCATTATAATGGACTAGGAAAATAGTTACGAGAGTGGTCGATATGGGCGGTCTAATTTTCTTTTTCATATATATTGAAGTTTTTCCCATCCACCTTGGTTAAAACCACCTGCCACAAGCCGCAACTGTAGTTTGGACATCTGTTTTAATACGCGATTCTTAATTTTTTTATGTTTAAAAGATTTAAATTATGTAAAAAAAATAATTCTGTGAAGATTTTGATGTTTTAAAGATTGGATGTTTTACTAGTAGTACTATATATTAGAGTGCTCATCCATGGACCTCTCATTATTGAATGGGCACCCCTGCCAATTGGGTAACTTTCCGAAGAAACCCAAGAGTCAAGGAATAAGGATATTAAAAAATATCGGCTGCTTGTATCCTCGGCCTCCGTCATTTCAAGTTTACGTTTAAACCCACCAAAACTAAATCATAAACTGTCGTCAGATGCCATTAAATTATTATCAACTGTTGTAAATGCGGATGCGGAATTGCCATCAGTAAATATAGATACGAGCTTGGATACTTCAGATGACTGCGAGTCTGACGGTGTATAAAATTGTTATCTTAAAAATATATTCCTGTACCAACAAATATGTATGTCGTGTAAATTTGAAAATCAAGATTTTTAGAAACAAACATTAAGACCTCGTTAGTGTTTGTCCGAGCTTCTGTTCCGATTTGTGGCGTGCGCCTTGATGTTGGCGCACAAAGGGGAGGGACCAACAGTTTTACGCCGAATCCGAACGGGGATTTTATTTTTATGAGAAGCTGCTCTTCGTTTCTGAATACACTCGGGGGTTTGCCATTGCCTGCCAAAGGGCGACTTTATTACAAAAAACTTGTTTGTTTCTTATTTTTTGATGTTGGTTGGAAACTGGGCTTGAACCCAGGCCCTGCGGAATGATAGATTATATTGCCAACCGCTACATCACATTGTATAACAAAAAAGCCGAAAACATGACCTATTTTACTTAACTACCTTAGTTTTGCTAAAAATCTGATTATTTTAAGCGTACACAGCAGTTATTAGGGATCCGCCATTTTGAATTTCGAAATTATGTGGTGAAATTTAAAACCAGCAACCAAAATTAAGACGAAATTGGCCACTGTGCAGTCGTTCAAAACTGGCACTTGGTGTTCATAATTCACTGGAGCCTTCATTTTTCAACCAATTTGATATATAAATATACATATTTTTTTTAATAAAAGCTTATAAAACTAGCAAGAGACCACTAGAGCCCGATTTTTGAATTTTTATTTGTGTCTATTAAATTTTTTAGTGCAAAGTCGTAATTTTGAAGAAAAAACGAAAAAAAAATTTCATAAGAAAACTTTGAAATTTTAGAAAAGAAATTAACAAAATTAAATTAATTATTAAATTAGTTTTTAGAAATAAATAATAAAGTGCAGGCTGCAAGTTGCAAAGAGGTCGAGTCGTTTTTTAATAATTTTTTTCGCTAACATTTCGAGCACATCAGCAAGCTAAATGGGAAATAAAAACGTTTGTTATATTATTAAAAATCAACGCGAACTCTTAGCCACTTGCAACTTGCACTTTATTATACTAAAATTTAATGATCTATAAAACGGCGTAGCCAAAATTTTTCTGAAAACAAAAAAAAATAGATTTTGATGAAAATTTTTCACAAAACATTTTAAATTTTTTTTGTGAAGTTTGTTTTCGACTTGAGGGAGCCCTATTGTTTTCAAGTAAAAATAAAAACGTTTGTTATATTATTAAAAATCAACGCGAACTCTTAGCCACTTGCAACTTGCACTTTATTATACTAAAATTTAATGATCTATAAAACGGCGTAGCCAAAATTTTTCTGAAAACAAAAAAAAAATTTTGATTTTGATGAAAATTTTTCACAAAACATTTCAAATTTTTTTTTTAAATTTGTTTTCGCCTTGAGGGAGCCCTATTGTTTTCAAGTAGTTTTATTATTTAACAGTTATTAACAGGAACAGGAGAATCGATTTTCTTTAAAAGTGCTACTTTTTCTGCACTTTGCACTAAAAAATTTGACAAAAACAAGTATAAATTCAAAAATCGGGTTCAACTGATCTCTAGCTAGTGTATCAAATTGGTTGAAAA